AGGGGGTCAAACACTGTATTAGTATGGTGTTCCTAATAATCCTTTAGGTGAGTGTATATATATATATATATAATTTTTTTTATTTTTTCCCTGGATAAAGTGCTTGGCTTGACCGCTGTTGGTCAACAATGTCCTGCAGCAAAGATTTTCCAATTTAAAACTGACTAGCCAGGCGTGTCCATGTCTGAGTCTGGAGGGCCAGTGCCCTGCTGATAGGAAGCACAACACAAATGCATTTCATTCCTGATGTATACTCCACTATAAAGCAATTTACAGTGTAGTCCAGTGAAAAACCAGAGCATCTTGGCACTCTAAGGGATCGGGGTTGCAGTACCACTATGCAATTTTCATGCATGCATTTACACAATTTGAAACTTTCTGCATTTTGGTGAGCATGCCTGCCTGGCTCTCCTCCCCCATGTGAGCCCTCTATAGGTCTTGTTTGGTCTGGCAAGGCAGAGCCCTGAAAAGACGTCTCTAAATGAGTATATGAGTATACTGTACTAAGAACAGAGGTATAGAGGACAGTAAAAATCCCAGGATGTCGTTCTTGCCCCGACCCCAAATATATCCGTTGCATCCTTACCAAAATAGATCAATCCCATAATTCATTGCGCCCCAAGTTCATGCTTGGAAGGCAAGTTAGCAAGACCGGTCAAGTCATGACCACAAGTACGATCTTTGCATTTTTGGTATTGAGAAACACCGACTGGAGAAAAGGGGGGGGGGGGGGGCTCTGCCACATTTTACATAAATATGACTCACTGCTTATGTGCTTATGCTGTTTCAGGCTTAAAATTGTTAGCAATGGCAATTAATTTTTTAATCTATTTATTCTCTTTTTCAGTCAGTGTCTTTTTTTTATTTGGAAATTCAATTAGCATTAACTTATATGACATTTCAGCATCTCAGCTAAAAGCCATTAAGCTGTATTGAAACTGACCCTTAAGTAAATCAATGGGTGTGATGACTTGGGGCTGAATAGTATTGGACGCATTTAAGTAAGCCAATAATCCATTTCTTTCAAATAATGTTTCCACAAAGCATTAATAATAGCTTTTTAATTCACACACTAAACACTTCTTGTAATACATGTCCTCTAACTCTAAAGGCTTATTTGTTTTAATTTAATTTAACAGTTGTAAATCAAAGTGGTTATAAATGTTTTTCCACATTTTTCAAATTCTAGTACTTTCCCTTCCAGTGCTTGAGCCCTTCAACCATGGGCGTCGTTAGGCCAATTTAGGGTGGGCTTCAGCCCCTCCAAAATGATCCCAAGCCCCCCCTAAAAATATAGCAATTATCATACTGTTTTTTAATTATATATCCATACATTTCATACAAGATATCACTGAGCGAAGGTACGCACTTAAATAGAAGCAAGACTACAAACTGAATTAAAAATAAGCGAGTAGCGTACGTTAATCCGCAGTTCAACGGATTAAAGAAGCGGCCAGATAATTTCATTGTCAGAGATTGTGAGTAGGTGTCAATAACTGTTAATTGCTTAACTTTACTTACGTTTCCTTAAGTTAAAGGAAAGTGACGTTGTTGGCTATTTTAAAACTAATTTTAAACTTGTCGGCATAATGCTGCTGTTATAATTGGTTATTGTGGCAAGTACTACAGCAAAAACAGGGACACTTACCATTAAGTGGATATATTCGTACAACAGCAAAAACAGGGACACTTACCATTAAGTGGATATATTCGTACAACAGCAAAAACAGGGACACTTACCATTAAGTGGATATATTTGTACAATAGTAAAAACAGGGACACTGAAGTTCAGTTTATATACCAGATGGATATACGAAAGTATTTTGAAAGATTGAAGCAGGAGAGCGGCAGGGGAGCTGATGCTGAGGGAGCGTGCATGATCAAGACTGGTGGAGCTTTACAGGTAAAGAGATTGTTTGTTTTGTTGTTGTCGTTTTCTTCAGGGTGGAGCCTTCTAGATTAATGAGATAATAACATTAAAGAAGCCTGTTTAGGTTTGGTGAAAATTTTTCAGCCCTCTATATGCGCTAATTCCTTATTACAACCCTAAGGGCTAAGTCCCCCTTGTCTTTCAATCCTAGTGACGTCCCTGACTTCAGCCATCCCTGTTATCCTCAGTTCAGCCTAGCTCTAAAACGCACAGCGAGCACTTTCCAACACAGTACCACTACGTCTCTCTTGAATCCCTTTTTAAAAAGCATAGTCTAAATAATACGTCCGTTTTCTATGCAGGCCTACAATTACTATGCAAATGACAGCAAAATAATTATGTAAGTTAAAGTTAAATTGCGTATAAAATTAGCTACAGGTTTAGTATATTATATTTCGAATTCAGTTATTCATGTAATGAGTATCACATATTATATGTAAACGGCCCCTCTTCTTGTTAATGGTTTGGTCTCGTTTCCATGGAAACCCTGGATATACAACGTACTCGAGGTGAGACATTGAACGCGCGCGGTGATAAAAGGTGGATATTAGCTATATAGCAAATTCTTATTACTGTGGTGCTTATAATTTTAAATATTATGTATAAATGGTATACCTTTTGCACAGTTTTAACAACATTACCTTTTTATAACACGAATCCATAGTAAAGTTTAGGTGGTGTTTCGCTAGTAGCTTGATAGCATGTCAAGCTAACTGAGCAGTTTATTGTTGAACTAGTAGTGTATCGTTTTTGAGAAGTTGCATATTGTTGTCGGGTATCACATATTGGCTTTATCTTTTTATGAGGTATTATTTTTTTGTAGTTTTAAACTGCTCGCTTTATCAGTCTAGGTAACGAAGAATGGGATACAATTTATTGCAGCAAATTATAATATAGCCCTTTTTTCCCCATTTGTTAAATTGTGTATTGTGTTTAAATTTTATTTTTATCGATAAATATAGATGGTGTACTACTAACATCTAAGAAAGTTTTAAATGTAAGGGCTAACTCTCCTCACACAATAAGAGTCTTGTTAATTTAGATCCTGGCACCAAGTTAAAATGGATCTCGTGGAACGTTTTCCTGAGGATATATCCAACGTCTCACCCCTCCTTGCTGAAGATACACCCCAGGGTCCCAGGATGGATGAGGAGATGGCTGGTATATTCTCTTCTGTTCTTTTCGTGGAGACAGGATGAGGGTTTGTATTGTCTGGGAAGAATGACAAATGGATTAAAGCATAGAAAGCTGACCTCTTTTGATTTATAAAGTCTGAGCAAACAGGCAAGGGTAGGTCCTAAAATATCAAATCTGTGCCTCCTTAATTCTTTACGGTACAGTAAGGGGAAACCAGCCAAAGCTATAGGGAAATGAGAATGTTATGCACCACTGGGCCGTATCATATGTAATGTATGACAATAAAGTTTTGTGCGCAGTTCTATTTATTAATCATTTTAATTATGCTCATTAACAAAATATTTAAAAGTTATGTTCATATTGGATCGATGATCCTTTGGAATTGATAGTGGACATTCCAGTCGATTTGCAGTAACATTTGCACATGAGTTCATTTAGTTAGTTTAGCTTAGCTGGCCTGCATAACGGAGTAGATTAGTTACAGATGCTTCAGATTTTGATTAGAAATAACAGCTGAACTGAACTAGTAAATCTACTGATGAGGAATTCAGACCAGTATAAAATCCCATTTTCAACTAGAAACTTAGGTGTTTCTGTATCAGACCGACGATACAGACATCAGACATTGTCAGTTTTTTGTTTAGAATTATACTGAAAGTTGAATTTACGTATATTTTCAAGTAAATGCTGGCAACTGTGAAAATAAAGGAAGTACACATATACTGATCTCGTGTTTAAGTTAGTTTAAAAAAACACCATTCCATCATCACATTATGCAACGACATCATCAGCGCGCTCCTTAGCCACGACTTTTTCACGGTGCAACATTCCATCATCACATTATGCAACGACATCATCAGCGCGCTCCTTAGCCACGACTTTTTCAAGGTGCAAGGCAAAACGGGAAAGCAAGTACAAAATGGTTGTCTATAAATTACAAAGTGTAAGAAGAGGCATTTTCATTAAGTACAGTCCTTCGCAAACCTTTACAAGCTCTGGGCATATTATTCTTCCCATTATAAAAATGCACTTTTATGCATAATGTGGGGCTCAGACTGCAGGTTTACCGAAACGTGGGAAGTTGATCAAATGAGACATCCGTCAGCCTTTTCTCAGCAGACACATACACGTGTAGCACTCGCCAAAAAAGGGCTGCGGGCTGGAAAGCTTGTTTCCTCTTGTGAAGGGTCCTCACAGGCCTGCATTGGTTTGGAGCACATTTTCCTGGCATGGGTTAGGTCTACTCAACCGCTTATAGGGCATCTTAAAAGCCAAGCCGTTCTGAGTGGTGACATGCATCCGGTGCTGAAGAATTTCTGTTCCGATAGAAGTGGAATCTTCCGGAATGTCGTCTTTTACAGGGTGCAATTGGTCACAGAATGGTTTGATGAGCATGGAAACACCATAAACCATATGCTATGGGTGACTCAGCCAACTGATCTCACTCCAACCGAGCACTTCTGGACAATTCTGGAGCAGTTCCTGAAACAGCATTTTTCACCACTGTCAACAAAACACCAATTAATAATGGAATATCTTGTAGAAAATTTGAATTTCGTCTTGTTAGGATATTTATAGATGCTTGTAGAAACTATGCGAAGATGCCCTGAAGCCTATGATGACCCAACACTCCATTATGACATTTTAATTATGTTTACTTTGTTTTGATTATCTAAAAATATGCATTTGTACCATTATAGACACCTTTCTCTTTGAAATGTGTTGTAATGCACAGAATAGTATTGTGTACAAGGCCTCTGGTGGTTCATAGTAAATTAAAATAATCATGATTTAGCATTTTTAAATGTTTTGGCTTTTGTAACTGTCATCTAAGTGGCTTCATTAAGAACATTTGTTGGATAAATAATGTAAAATGTAATTAATTTATTGAAATATTGCTCTAAATTTGATTCACAGCTGATGACACTGAAGAGGAGGCCTTCAGGGACACAGATAAATTGTTTCCAGTGCTTGTAGATGAACTGGCTGAATCGGATTCTTCCACAAGTCGGTTTGTGTCACGTATCAGTGCGGTGATTTTGGGGTTTCTGAATACTAACATATGGGCTGGTAATTGCTGTTTCTCCTAAAGAAAGCATCTTTTCCATTTGCTTTTCTACACTGGAATTTGTCATAGGCAGATAGAGGGTTGCAGAATTAATTTAACAGTGCAGAAGACGGAGTTTAGTAGTGTGTATGATCATGTGAATAATTGTGTCTTTCCAGAGATGTGATGGATGATGTTTGAGATACAGAACGAGGGTGATAATTCAGTCTAACTGCTGAAGCTCACGCAGATCTGATTTTTGTTCCTTATATAACTCGTTCAGGTGTTGCAGCGTCATGCATGGGGAAATCAGCAGCATCGCTTTGCTCTTGTCCACCTCTTTTGTTGTATAAGGGAGGGAAACGACTTTGCCTTCTCAACCAGAGACCGGCACGTCAAGAGGAGCTATGCAGAGCGAGCGCGGATGTTCAAGCTGCGACGGAACCTGGACCAGCTGGACTCCCTCTGCAGGCAGAACCAGCATGAGGTCCAGATAGTCAGGTCCGGAGCCTGCTGATGATTAGCCTCTCCCCTGTGATGCAGAACCCTTCAGCCCCATTGCTGTACCCCACATCCACTTTGAACAGAGGGACATTTTCCACATCAGCTGATTTGGCTATTTAAATCCCTCCTTGGCGCTAAAAATGTTAGCATGACACAACATGTTTCAGCTTATTTCCCCCTTTATTCATAACAGGCTATCAGTATCTAATGAGTTGTTATGCAGCACTGAGCTGAAAGCAAAGTGTTTGGCGTTGTGACCAGCAACAATTTAGTAAGCTGCAATGTATTATGGGAGCGTGTAATGACACTTCATTGAAGTACGGCTATTTTTGGACCGTTCGATGTGTTTTTCCTAAAATGCTTTTTCCAGGGACAGCCTGATTCAGTTAAATATGATAACAGTATATTGGAATCATTACCTAGCGATACAGCAGCTTAAAATATCTGAGGGGGGTGACACACTGGTTTCAGGAATGACAGGAATTATTCCTCCCAGCTTTTTGCAGCCTGTGAGCAGATTGCTGTGTTGCAGCTCATTAGATGGCGAAGGGGGCGCGCAGTGGGCTGCCAAGAGCTGATAGATGACTGTGGACAGAGGAGCGGCGTGAGCACGATTGGCATCTTTCTCGCTCCAGTGCACCTTTGGCTGTCCCTGGCTGTTACAGTGGGCCGTGCTGTAGGGGGAAGCTAAAATCGCTTTCCCCCCCGGCTGTCTCTTTACCTCTGGAAAATGTTATTCTAAGTTGCCCGCAATAATGCGCTCCGTCACAGCCGTGCTGAACGGTATCACGGAAAGGCAATGACCTGAACGCAGAATTCCATTCCTCATGGGGTTCCTCTGAAGTTTCCCCATTCTTCCAAAAGACCTACTGACTTATGTTTAGTGTTTAGTGAAGTTTAAACTCCTTGCCGTTTTTGATTGTTTTTTTTTATATATTTTGGTCCATCCATACATTTCAGTACCTGTTTGTCCTGTTTAGGATCACGGGAATGTTGTTAATTAATATAATATGTATTCCTAGATATTGATCATCTTCATGGTAACATGACAGATATGGTCTCCTGGGCATTGTGCTTGAATTGTGCGTGCTGTCTTGCAGGGAGGAGCTGAACTCGTGCCAGATGCATTTGGCTGAGCTGGAGGAGCAGAGGGAGAGGGTGGAGCAGGAGATGGAGCAGTGTGATGGAGGCAGCAACATGTGTGTACGCTGGCTGGGGGGACAAGCAGCACGTGACATCACTAAAGAGGTGGCAAATTGGGGAGTAACGTCCAGAGGTGGGTGGCTCTGGTCCAGAGAGTAAAAGTCCAGATCAAGATTTTGTTTTATCTAACTAGTTGAGTATAAAGAATGACTGTCACAGAGTACTCAACCGATTGGTTGAAACAAAATCTTGGTCTGGACTTTTACTCTCTGGACCAGAACCACCCACTTCTGGTAATGTCTCATGAATGATGTTGGCCACACATGGAACTTCTTTGGCAAAGTGAAAAATCTTACAAAAATAAACAGTGATTATAGAGAAGAATTTCTGAAAATTCCCTGGGGAACCTTCATATTGGGGGACCTTCAAATTGGGGAACCTTCATATTGGGGAACCTTCATATTGGGAGACCTTCATATTGGGGGACCTTCAAATTGGGGAACCTTCATACTGGGTAACCTTCATATTGGGGGACCTGCAAATTGGGGCACCTTCATATTGGGGGACCTTCAAATTGGGTAACACTTTACTTGAGGGGAAACAAATAATGTACTTCATGTATTAATTAACCAGAAACTAAGTGTTAGTTACATATTGATCCCATGTTTCATCATCATAACCAATCATAACAGTCCATGTATTTCATGCAATTACTATATTTGTTCTTGATTTATACGTAAGTAGTAACTGAGTTACTATAAAATGTTACCTCAGATTGTTTTGGTGATGGAATAGTTAATGTAAGTTGTTGATGTTTATGAAGCTCGTTATACTACCAAGCAGATTTACCACTGAATATACTGAGCACCATACTGACTCTTGAAATTTAAACAAATACTTGAAAATTGAATGTTTCAAGAGAACATATTGTGTATTGCTTGGTCATTTTGCATTTGGCCAGTTACTGGCATCCATCCACACATTTGTTCCATGAAGAACATATCATCTTAGTTTTTCTGGCTAACACTAAACCACTCTGGACAAAATAGTTACAGAGACACCCAGAGTGGACAAAAATCTCTAAGGAAGCCTCAATATAGAATAGAAGAAAGAGGTTTTTATTTAGATAAAACAACAAGTCCTACCAGATTAAACAGGGTTATTCAGAAATGTTTTAAAGCGCACATGAATATTATCTAAATATCACATGACAATTTAAATTGAGCTGATAGCGGTTTCAGATCCGAGTATCAAGCAGAATGATAAGTAATAAGAAACTATAAGAAAAAATCTACCCTGTAGGACCATTAGAGATATGAGTCGCTGAAATACCTTTATTCCCTTTTCACCAAACATGTCAGTCTTTCATATCTCCTTTTTAGACCATTTCGTGTGTGTGTGTGTGTGCGTGTGTGTGTGTGTGTTTGGACACATCTGCTTTTAATGCATTTGTCTTTATTTTAGCTGTGTTATTCACCTTATAGTAAAATGCCTCGAGGCAATGAAGTAATACATATCAAATATAGCCAAGAGACCAAGAGAAGTGTCAACATCTCAGAGCTTTCTCAAATTTTAGTCTCTTCAAAAACAGCCCCCTTTTGCTTCACTGACAGCATTGCAGACTCCTGACATTCTTTCAGCCAGCTTCCAGATGTAGCCGCCTGGAATGCTTCTCCAAGTCTTGACGGAGTTTCCACAAGTTCTGGGTGCAAGTTGACTTCCTTGCTTTTACTCTTTGATCTAAGTCATCCCAAACCAGCTCTATAGGGTTTTAGTCGGGGGGGGATTGTGGGGACCAGGTCATTTGTCACAGCACTCCATGTCTTTCCTTCTTCACAAGATAATACTTAGTACATAATCTTGAGGTGTGCATATAGTCGTTATCTTGTCGAATAAGAATATATCTATATAAGGGAAGTGTAAGAGAAGAGAGTAAATAATACAGGTCCTTTCTGTGGTCTCACAGGGCATCAGTGTTGCGCCTGATGGCCGAGCACCAGCGACTGTGTGTGGAGCTTCAGGATGGAGAAGAGGAGAAGTCTCATCTCACTCAGGTCCTGCGGGAGCATGAGTGAGTCACACATCAACACCACAAACCTCCTTCCTTCCCTGGCTTCCAAGTTTAAATCCAAAGTCTCATATGACAGCCCAAAAACCACAGCAAAGCTCTTCTCAGGACAGGAGATGTAGTATTTCTCAGAAGGGTATTTAACTGGTATGTTTTTATGAAAACATCCCGCAGATGTGGAATGGGGTATATGAAAAACCATGCCCGCTAACTGACAGAATAATTTACCTATTAAGAGTGGATTAAAATGCTAAGCTGATTTAGAGTGATTCCTTTATTGGCATCAGATGGGCAGTACAAATTTTTTTTATCTTGGCATGTCCCAACTTGCTCTCCTATTAGATACAGACACATATACAGATAAGAGCAAAGCTTGGGGTCATAGTGCAGGTCAGAGTGTAGGCCAGAGTATTTGAGTGTATGTCAGAGCGTAGGTCAAAGTTTAGGTCAGAATTTTCAAGTGTAGGTCAGAGTGTAGGCCAGAGTATTTGAGTGTATGTCAGAGCGTAGGTCAAAGTTTAGGTCAGAATTTTCAAGTGTAGGTCAGAGTGT